GAGGCTGAGCTCTGATAACATCACTAAGGTGCTTGATTAATCAACCTGGGAACCAAATCCTTTAAGATATCTTTGAGTTGTCTTCTATCACTTGCAGCCTAATTCAACCTATATAATACCCCTAACACGTAGAGAAACCCAAAATGTCTAGACCATCTTATAATTGAAACTAAGCTGACTTCCTTATCATCTGCAGTTATTTCTCCAAACTTCTCCTTCTTTAAATTATAAGCATTTTTATAATGTTTATGAATAACTTTAAACTTTAAAATAATTTTAGGTGGGGCTGGCAGCTGGCATGGTGGTTAAGACATTGGACTCCCACATGGCTGACTGCGATTTAAGTCCCAGACCTGGAGGCTTGTTTCCTCACTTTTCCTCTCTCTCTGGTCAAATTAAAAATAATAATGGGACCAGCAGTTAGTGTAATGGCTATGTCGCTGGACTCCCACGTAGTCAACTGCGTTTCGAGTCCCAGACCCAGCGGCTTAAACTCACGCCAGGCGTGTGTGCGTGTATGCCCAAGATCCCGAGAGGAGAATGGAGGAGAAGGGATTGCGGCGTGGCCATTCCCCCTGGGGGGTGATTTCTCGCTTTCTGTCTCTCTGTCTCTCTCTGTCTGTCTGGCGAGCGCACACACCCTATTGCACAAACCTCTCAAAAAAAATAAATAAATAAAAATAATAATTAATAAAATAATCATTAAAAAATAATTTTAGGTGATAATGTCATCACTACTATGTGTAGCTATTAAAGAACATCAACATGGTTTGAGAGACACATTACTATTAGGAGGATGATGTCTTCTTTTTTGTAATAATTTTGATATTACAGTATCAAAGACAGACCACAGATTTGGATTTATCTTGATTTAGACTCTGAATACGAGTTCTATACTCTTGTTTTTTGTTTTTTTTTTTTTTTACTATGAGGGATGTGCACTTGCCAGAAAGACAGGAAGAATGTGAGAAATAAGCTCCCAAGTGGGAATGGCCATGCCACAAATTTTTCTTCTTGTGAACAACTCTCCATTTGATCATTAAAAAGACGCTTCTTTACCATACTATCCCAATAATCATAATGACTATCGTAAGATAATGATAACAGTGCATATGAACCTGATATTTTTGGAAGGATTTGACACAAACCTCTAGCAAATCTCTTTTTTTTTTTAAATGTTTTTGAAATAAATGGGTGGAGGGTCAGTAGGTGGTGTGTGGTTAAGGCCCTGGACTCCCATATGGCTGACTGCAGTCTGAGTCCTAGACCTGGCAGCTGACTTTCTCTCTCGCTCTCGCTCTCCCTCTGATGAGTGCACATGCCCTATAGCAAATTTAAAAATAATATTGATGATAAATAAAATTAATTAAATAATTCTTTTAAAAAAAAAATGGGTGGCATCTGGCAGTTATTTTTCCCCAGGAAAACTATCAGAATTTTAGCTTGTAAAATATAAGAGACACACCTGAACCTTCTTATGGTTTATTAGACACTGAATTAAAGAATAATCATGCTTCAAAGGACTTTAACTGTGTTGATTTATTTAACCTACAAATGTTCTTATTTAGCAATTTATAAACAAGTACTTATTGTTACTTCTGGTGAACCTGACATCACACGGGCATTTATACACTTAGTAACCTATAAAAAGTAAATGAAGCCATTAACCATTTAAAGGAAAAGTTTTAGTATGATTAATCTTTTAAAGGATCTCTCCATCATAAGAGGAAAAAAAAGAAGTGAAATAAGTTAAATAACGTATTGACCTAGCTCAAATTTCATCTTAAAGCCACTCCAAACATGGGAAACTCACCTACAAGTGCAGCAAACATAACCTAGTTCATTTTATTAATGTAAAAGTTAAAACAGAGTATGGAGTTTTATAGCAGCTCATTAAAATGGCAAAACTATAGTGCCAGCCTAGTGGTATGGTGGTTAAGGATCTTACATGGGCGACTGCCCAATTCGAGTACCAGACCCAGTGGTCACTCCAGGCATATGAGTTTGTGTGGCCAAAACTGCAAAGGGAGAATGAAAGAGTGGGGATGTGGCATGGCCATCCTCCCCGGAGGATGAGTTCTCACTTTCCCTCTGTGTCCCTGGCTAATGTACAAGTCTTACAGAAAATGAAAAAAAGAAAAACAATTATGACTAAAGAACTTATATTTAGAATCAAAATCATGACAAATCCAATTCAGTAATCTATCTTTGATAGTTCAATATCAAACGAATTACGAAAAAGCAGAGCAGGCTTCTCTGAAATCATCCTCTGAATAGTAATGTGTACCTCAAACCATGCTAATGTTCCTTAATAACTGCACTACATAAGAATGGCATGACCACTCCAAGTTATTTTCAATTATATTTCTCCCAAGCCATCTTTGTGTTGAGTCCCATAATGATGCACTTAATGCACACGGCAATATTTTACTTTCCTCTCTTATCTCTTTCACCTCAAAGAATGACCTCAGTTTAACTTTCTGGCATTTTAGAAAACTGGTTCACTATTTCAAATCGCAGGTATATACTCTCTTCTTTCATCGAAGCCGAGAATTACTAGACATTTTGGCTTCTATGCCTATTTTATACACTGTGATCATTTCGGTTGTTCTGCTACAGTATAGAAACCTTGACTACAAACTAGAACTGGTACAGACACTGTGATCCACTCTGATGACAAAGGGGGAAGGGGTCGCAGTGGGACAGCGTAACACAGCCCTATACAACGGTGAAGCCACGTGGGAACATCCTGGAGTCTCCCCGTACACATAGGCTTGCACTGATCCATCTCCTGATTCTGTCTGCCAAGGCTGGGGGTAGATCGTGGCATGAAAGTTCTGTCGGGGCTACCTATCTCTCTCTCTTTCTCTGTTTCTTTCTCTCCCTCATGGAAGAAATAAACTTGTTTTTAAAAGGGGGGTTACATTCCTATGTAATTGTATGTTAACCACATTTCAAGGAAGAGTGAGTCAAGTACTATCAAATTCAGGTAAATATTCAGTGTGGCCTGACCTAAATTCTAGAATCTGTATTTAAGACACATAAAATTCTTTGCCAGTTCCTGCAGGTCCATCAGAGAGATGGGCATTCATATATCTCTGAGTCCCAACGACAGGACTTTATGTCTCCTTATGGACGGAACATACAATTACATAAGAATAGGTCATGCATAGAGGGGAGGAAACACGAAAACTTCAAAAAAGACCCTCAGTCAAGAGTAATAAAAGCAGACACCGACACTTGGGTAATAATTCTTAGATACCAGAGCAAACCTATGCAGACTCTAAAGTGAGTTGCAGAAAAGATATACTTATTAGTGATTCTCCTAGGAGACACTTTAGAGTCCTACTAATTTTTAAAATAAAATCAGGATAACATTCTCTGTTTACCTTTTAAAACTTTTTGCTTTGATGTTCGGTTTTTAGGATAAGTAATGAATTTTTGTGGGTCTCACTGCACTTGAATTTCTCTCTCCACGGAGACATGTAAAATGACATCTAACTTTTATTTCAACATTGTACTTTTTGGCCTTATTTTATCATACTATGAAACTTCTTTGGACTTAATTAGCACTAACATAAAAATAGGATGTCCCCATCTAATTTGGTGCTATATGAGAGGAATTCAAAAAGTTCATAGAAAAACTGATTTAAAGTACAAAAAAAAAACTCACGCATAGTTTTTTTTCATAATACACATATCCATTATCTTTTTGAAGGCCTCTGATATAGACCTAGAGGAATGTATTAAGTAACAAATATCATTTTTTATGAAAAATGTTATTAAGAATAAGAAATTATTAAATTTCGCTATTGAATCTAAGTTAGGTTCAGAATGAAGATAAATTAAGGAAAATGTATAACTATATAAAATGAAATTACATTGGAAATATTTTAGCAATCAGAACAAAAATAGTAATAAATAACTTGATTCTGTCTCCAGAGAAAGCTCCTAATAGATAAAGACTATTAGGAGAATTATTTGCATACCAAATGAAGAGGTCATGCATTCAATAATAACTCCATTTACAAACAAAACATCACTAAAGCAGAGTATCAGAAATGTCTGAGTTCTACCTACCACTCTGTTACATAGATACAATTTATAAGCACATATTGTGGGTGGGAAGACTGAGGTAGGTGTAAAGTAAGTCATTTGATCCAGTCCCACAACTTGCTGATGGTAGAACCAGGATTTGAACTCAAGAAGTCAGCTCTGGAGTCTGCTTAACCATTACTTTATAATGCCTAATTTTCTGTATAGCACACTGCTCATAGAAACAGTTGTGGGGCTGTGAAAGACGAACTGAGGCATGGAATGGTGAATTGGGAGACAAAAATAGAGTTTTATGAATACTCAGACTCCCTCACATAATGAGAATAGTCAGGTTGTAGGTAAATAGTTTAGTGACATTATATAATTCAGGTTCCTATTACTGCCAGAAATGGGGTCTAGATGTAAAATGTAAAAGCTGAGTTAAGTTTCTAAAACAGTGGTTGGCAGATGTAGAATCCCTAGTTTGTAGAAAACAAAGCCAACAAGCAGACATGTTTTAAAGATGACAATATAAATACTTTGTATGTATTACTTCATACAATGCTGACACTCTAAGGCAGAAGTGCCCTCTGAACCACAGCAGTAAGGTGGAGCCTGTGCTTCCTATGACCTAGCATTTACACCACACCGTATCACATACTCCTTACGAGCCAGAACTCTATCTTAGTCCTTACCGTATTCCTAAGTCAGAGTTGGCCCTCCTCAGATATCTGTTGTATGAATTAATGACTAAGATGACATGAAGCTTATTTTCTCCTAGTGCCAATGAATTATAGTATGTTTGTATGTTGTATATATTCAGTTGCTGAAAAAGTCATGATGCATTTTTGCATAGAAAAACAGAAGAATCCATCATGACTGGCCCAACAACTCAATGTAAAAGGACTATGAGAAAACAGACTTTCATTCTCGTAAATATTAAAAATTAACTCAGAGATACTGACCGGAGATACATATAAATCCAGAAGAGAAAAAGGCTTCATTGTATGAAGACAAGTTGTCAGTCTGAGCATAGGCAGCATACACAGACATGTGTGAACAGGCACATTCCACGTAGTCTGAGGTGTCCTCAACCACTTTGCAAAACTGACTGTCAGACAACCAGCTAGGGCAAAAACACAATAGTCATTATTCCCCTTTCATCAGTACTTACGGTGTTAAGATGGCTTTAATGAAAACCAAATAAATAAAATAAAATAAAATCTGCTGAACTTAAACGTTCTTAAGACACAAGCAGACTACATTTTCAAAAAGAAACACCAGAGGAAACATCTTGTCCAGGACATGACACAACAGATCCCACATGACACCTCAAGAAGCAGTCTTAAATAACAACCAAACCTGCCAGAGCATTCCTGGTACCAAAGAATCTGACCCTTTCAACAGAGCAGCACTAGTCCTGACCCCAATCTAAAGCACGCACGCTGAGGTTTTTAATAAAAGGCACTCTTATCTATCAATCAAAAATCAAGAGAGCCTTTTTCATTAAGTCCTTGTTTTTGAACCAGGTAAATTACTTGTATGCTTATCTAAGATTTCTTCCCTATCTTTTTTCTGTTTGGGAGCCAATTACATGGCATACGCATTTTCTAGGTCCTTTCAAGTGTTTCCTTCTATAAAGTCTAGATAATACAGCAAATAACCTTGTCCTGACTATAGCAAACCTAGCATCACCTGCCAAGCATGTCTAAGTGCTCCTCACTGATGGGTCGTTGGACCTCTTCCACTTTAGTGACTCTTGATTCCTTTACTTTTTCTAAGGCCAGAAAACTTCCTAACCCAAACTCCAGATTCAAGATTAAAACATCCATTATTAATTATGTATTGAGAATTACAGAGTCTCTATGGACTAGCTTTGAGATCTGTCCTAAGGCATTAGAATTTCGATAAACATTTTTTATTGGAAAAACTAACTAGAAGTCCACTACTTTGGAGGACAGTTGGTTATCCAATTAAGCTCTTAAATCTACTTAGAATTTTAGGTTGTTTGGCTGAAATTCAGTCATAAAGAGAATCTAGTGAATGAAACGAATTGTAGACCCTCTCAATCAGCTCTGTCTGGCCCTACAGCACTAAGCAAGCTCCAAGTTGGAGTAGCTGCTCTCAAACTTGAGGCCTTGGGCCAAGAAGATACAAAGAATCACTTTCTTCTTCCTATTCTTGTGCATGGCTTTAATCCCAGGATGTAAAATACTCTAATCCACTTGTGGACTGGAATTATAAATCCCTGTTCATCCCTCTACACACGGAGTCTCAACTCTAGAGCCACAAGGCTAAATGTAAGAGGTGGAAAGAAGGAATTTCCTTCCCTACCCAACAAATTAACAAATAACTTTATGAAGGTTGTCTATATTGAGTAGAACTTACACCACTTCCCATGATGGTAGTAATAGTAAGACTTAAATAATGTGCTACACATATATTTAAGTTGCTTGGGTGTATCTGCCAAACAACCAATGCTAGACCACTTCCTGTGCTGCTCCATCTTATTTATTATAGAGGTTATTCTCTACTCTACGGTCTCCCCAGATGCTACCATCTATGTTCACTTGAAAAAATTAGGCTCAATGGTACTGGAATTGGAAGACCAAATACTGAGTTTAAAAAATAATTAATGACGGGACCAGCAGGTGGCATGGTGGTTGAGGGCGCTGGACTCCCAGATGGCCGACCGTGATTTAAGTCTCAGACCTGGCCGCTTGCTTTCTCACTTTCCTTCTCTCTCTCTCACCCTCTCTGGTCAAATTAAAATAAATAAAGTTAAATAAAATAATTTTTTTAAAAAAAAGATTAATGAGTACCTTTCAGCAGCCTGATTCCAAAGGAGACAGAGGGCTGTCTGAGGAACAATTCTAGGCTGAGCAGCATAAATCCTGTAGAGAATCTCATTGTTGCTAGTCAAGAGTTGTGAACTCTGACCTTTCACACTCACAGACAATACCTATAATTCAAAAGGGATGAAAAATTTAATGACATTTCCAATTAGTGTTATGACTAGATCTGCCACTTTGAACTTGATGTGATTTTTCTCATAATTATGGTGGCTTATTTTCTTCCACTATTACCAATTAGCTTGCTTATAAACGGAAGGTGTCTGATTTTCCAGTGGGTACATTCTCTCTCCACATCAGGCCCTCAGCACCCTTTAGCCGATGACACCTATTTTGACTATAATGAGCTGACTTCATCAAGAGTGAGGTTTACAATAGGATATTATATCTATGAAAGGTGTGTTTTTTCACTCTCCTCACTTTATCATAGATATTCAATATAATATGAGGGAAATATTCCAAACTATATTTTAAGCTAAACATTCTACAAATAGTTCACCAAAATTAAACACATTTCATATTAGTTCACCATGTATAGTACTTGCCAAAAATCTGATCAAGCAATGCATTCTGAGTGTGTTCTATGGAGAAACATAACATTCTAACCACATAGATTTTTAGATGAGAGATTACCTTATTTTTTAGGGCAGGAAGATTGTTTTCAGACACAAACCACTGCTGGCTGCTATATTCTGTAAACTGGACTAATTTGCATATACTTTTCCCAGTCATTATTTCCGCATCTGGGACATCCAATAACTTTTCTGGAATTCGAATATAATCGCCTTCCTTGCCTTCAAACTTGTGCCCATTGATTTGCTGCGGATACCAGTGAAGAGCCAGAATTGACAAATATGGGCAACTGTCCAGGATGGTTTTGCTTCTATAACAGAAAAGCGAAGAGTCTAATAAAATGGCACACTTAGACATACATATACCCATGTACACTTGTTAAAATGCATTACCTTGAAACTCAGTTATTTTTGTATAACAATACTACCAACCCAGAAGTAGTGGTTAGAATAGTCTTTCACTGTTTTCTGGTTAACTGTCATAAGTCTTTACACAGCACTTTCTAGAACTCTTTGTCTAAGTTTTGTAACCCAAAATATAGATTTTTGAAAGCTTTTATATGGATAACAAGATACAATTTATGGCTGTAAAATGTACTTTTCTTTGCAAGTCATATTAGCATTGTGGAATAGGTTTAGAGCATCCCCACTAAACTAAAACGCTCAGCTTTATTTAAGAATGTCATAAACTTTCATTCATTTAACAATTCTATTTTGAAGATCATCTAGGCACAATAAAATCTGTGAAACTGCTTCCGAACTTCTGTGTTCAAAGCACTTGGAAGCTTGTTTTGAAGTACAGATTTTGGGATTACACTCCAGACTTCCTAAGTCAGAAACCTTACCTGAGGAGGGGCTAGAGGAAGAAGGGTTCTAGGAATCTGTATTTGTAACCAGCCCCTACAGACTCATCATATTTGCAGACAATGAGGATATACAAAGATAAATCAGATTTAAAACTTGCCTGAAACCATCAGAAGATGTTAGAATATTAGAATGAAAGTTATACTTAAATGTTAAAAGTTATATGGGCCACAACAGATTCAGAGTATGGATAATCAGATCATGCATTTAATGACACCTTGTCAAGACAACCGCCCCCCCCCCAACCTGAGATATAGAGCAGATCATTTTCTTTTCTTTTTTTCTTGTAAATGTCAGAGAGCAGACATGTATGTACAAGAGAGGACAGAGAAAGAGACAATGACAGAGACAGAAAAAAGCACTCCCTCTCCCCACCCCAGTGGGACCTGGTCACACTGTAATCCTTTTCCCTCCAGTTCTCCATCTCTTCAGGATCCTCCACACATGTACAGAAGTCCAGTATGTTTTTCAGACTATAGGGATAGGGACTTGAACCCTGGTCAGTCTTCTAGGATCTAGCTTCCTCTGGATCTTGCTTTACCACTGTGCTATGGGTCAGGCCAGAAGCAGAGAACTTTAAATTAAAGATTTCAGAAAGGAAAGGAAAGGGGAAGGGCTAACTTATCCCTCTCTAGCTATAACCCATAAGTTTAACTATCACATTTCAATCAGTGTTTTCAAATGTCTATCCTTAATCTACCCATTCATCCAGGTCTCTATGTTGCTGTGTCTAAGACTCTTATTAGAATATCTCGGTGTATATGGGCCATGTATCTCCACAATACCTTGTCAAAAAAATCATCTCTTAGCCAGTTTTCCACATAGTCAATGGTAACTCTCAGCGTAAAAGCTGCCATTGTAGAGCCCCTGACCAGGCACAACATGGCTAAGACCACCGAACCTCAGCCACATGGATTTACACCACCCACCTCCACCTTCCTACTCCCTACCTAGACTCTACTGAGAATCAGTCTAATCAGTACTACTAAGAACTTCCCTATCTTGGCAAACTGAGACCAATATCACATGCAGAGTGACTCTAACAAACTTGATACAAGTATGAAAATTCTTGGACTCTCTTACTTGCTGATAACCACCCTCTCCCTGAGATCTCAACCTTCCATATTTATACCCAACAAATGTACTCACCCTCTCAATCCCACAATCAGCCTCATACCTAGGCTGAAGTGAGGAGAGAAAAATCCCCACATTAACACATGGATTGGCACCACTACAATCCAGTGACCAACCTCAGTAGGATCCTCAATGCCACTTGGCATTGTTTTGACTTTTATACTTAGATTGGCTATCTTTTTTAATTTCATGTGTCATATGACTTAAGAACTAACACCAAAAAGTTCACCAACTAAGATTTTTTTTTTTTTTTGGAGAGGTTTTTGCTATAGTGCACGTGCGCTCACCAGAAAGAAAGAGAGAGACATAGAGACAGAAAATGAGAAATCCCCCCATGGGGGAGATGGCCACGCCACAATCCCTTCTCCATTCTCCTCTCAGGATCTTTGGCACACATGCACATGTGCCCGGTGTGAGTTTAAGCCACCAGGTCCAGGACTCGAACCACAGTTGACTACATGGGAGTCCAGTGACATAGCCATTACGCTAATTGCTGGTCCCTCATCATCTAAGTTTTTAATAAACTTGTCATAATTCAACAAGGACTCTATAATTAAGCAAATGATTTAAATCATTATACAAATTTTTTAAACTATTGTCTTCAAAATGTGTCTAAATTTCAATGTGACTTAGTGATGGCTGATAACTAAAAATATATAAAATATAAAATGTATAGACTGTAAAATGTATAGATTTATTCACTATATAACACTCCACTACACATACTATTACTAGTAGTCAAATAATGGTCTTTTTTTTTTTTTTTAGATTAACATATATTGCTCTGTGAGAAGTGGGGAAGAATCTCAATTTCCAATCGTATTCTACCAGGCATTTTTATGTTAAATCAGATAGAAATAAAAGCATTTTAAGTCTTTGTACTAAAAAGGTCTAGTTTACTTTGAGAATACAATGCATAATACCATGGCATCTGAAGAATATTAACATACAATTGTATAATTATTAGATCGTTAGTAATGAATATGAGCTCTATTTTAGTTTTTCCTTTTCTTCTCACTAGTCTTCTACCATGAAACACCAGCTATGAAATGATTAGTCTGAAGTTCAACACAATTCTGAAAGCTGGTCTCCAAACGGATGAAATAATCATAGCTCTAGAGGAAAGCACAATTACAGTACCTACAAATAGTCTTTGGAAGTTGTCCCGTAGCACAACAGTTAAATGCTATGCATAGAAAGTGAATCCCACATGGCTGACTATGGTTCAAGTCCTAGCTGGCTCTTTAGTGAGCCATCCAGGAAAAAACAAACATACAAACAAAAACCCCTCAAAGTTAGAATCACCATCTTCTATTTTCTGTTCAGAATATACCTTCTCATCAAACAAATAAGTTAAGCAATAAGACAAATACATTGTCGACAACATAAATATATTTTTCTTGATGTAGCTTTGCTCTTTTCTTCAAATAATTATTTGCCCAATAGCAGCAACGTATAGATTAAAGTCACCTAATATGCATCATCTAGTTGTCAATTTGCATAACATAGTGCTTTGTAAACAATGAAGAAATGAAGTACTACCGATATATTAAGACACTTACTTTTCACCAGGAGAACCACACGTAACATCGGTCAGCAGAGAAAAGGCAAAATTCTCAGTCACCTCAGTAAAGTGGCTGAATCCCTTGGTATCTTTGCGCTTTGGGTTAATAAGAGTACAAAGAATCTCATAGAAAAGACTTCGGTTTTCAGTACTGAAAGCTTGATTTCTTCCTTCAACAGTTACCTGGAAAAAAAATCCAAGTATAAAAATAAGTCTTCAAAAGTAAACTTAAATTATAAATGTCTACATAAGCTCTTTGTTAATATTAACAAAAATAAGGATTATCCTATAAGGATTTAAGAGAAATCAGTATCGGAATTATATTTTAAATATATGTTGAGTATCACTCATCTGAAATGCTTAGAATTAGAATTGTTTTAGATTTCAGAATTTTTCAGATTTTGCAATATTTCCATATACATGATGAGATCTTTTGGAGACAGGATCCAAGCCTAAACACATAATTCATTTGTGTTTCAGAAACACCTTCTACACACAGCCTGAAGAAAATTTTTACAATATTTCTGTGTCATAGCATTCTGTGATCCATATCATGGAGGTCAGGTGTAAATTTTCAACTTGTGCTGTCCTGTTGGTGCTCAACATTTTCAAATTTTGGAATGTTTTAGATATCAGATAAGGGATACCTAACCTGTATGTCCATTTGTACCTTAAGAGGCATAAAAGTCATTTATTAAGAAACAGCATAGTCACCAATTTTTTTTTCTGTTTTTTCTTTTTTTGAGAGAGATTATTACTATAGGAAGAATGTGCACTTACAGAGAAAAAGAGTCAGAAAGCAAGAAATCACCTCCCAGGAGGGATGGCCATGACACAATCCCTTCTTCTCCATCCTCCTCCTGGGATTTTGGGCATGCACACACTCGCACCTGGTGTGTGTTTTAAGCCTTAGAGTACAGGACTCAAACTGTGGTCAGCTACGTGGGAGTTCAGTAACATAACCATTACTCCACCAAATCTGTAAATCATCAAATGAGTAATTCCTTTCTAATCAAGAGTAGTCGGGAGCTGGCCCAGCCTGGGTGGTGCCAGTGCTGGGGCACTACCGCAAGCAATACTGGAGCCACATGAGGAGGTTTGGGGTTTGAATCCCAGGCCAGTCTGACCATACTGACTATGCTTAGAGGCACACCATGACTCTCACTGTTTCAAAGACTGTGAGGAGGCCCACAGTGTGAAAAGATCCTGCCCACAGTCCCTGTATCTCTCTTTCTCTCTCATAAAAGAAATAAAACAAAATGTAACAAAAAAGAATGGTCAAGAGCAACTGGAACAGTTGGATTTTTCAGTAGATATGACTCCTCCTATTTTAAGAACTGGGCTATTTTTTGTTTTAGGAACAAGGGAAGGAGGGAAAAAAAAATCATCTTCATGATGTTTCCTTACCAGAATGGTAGGGAATTCATCTTTATTGTCTGATTCAGCATGGGTGTGAAGCCAGTGACTTCTTGTGCTATTACATTTGAATGTACATGATGAATCCCTATTAATTCTTTAAAGTACAAAAGTAAACACTTTCTGTATGATTCCTGAACTGTGCCCCATGTGTCAACACACATTATCCATGTCTCTGTAACTTACATATGCCTTTATTAATGATTCTATGACAACCTTAAAATGATTTGTGTTTCTCCTACTATTGCAAATGAGCTCAATGAGGAAGCAGCTTATGCACCCCATACTTTTTTTATAACTCTGTACTCTAGTACAGTTCAAATTCATAACATAATTCAAGATCTGGACTAATCACAGTGGCCATCTCCAAGTTAGTGACAAAGAGTGGAGAATAATCCACAGGGAAAATATGATTTAAAAGTATAGCAAAAAAAGTTAACGATGCAAAAGTTACAAATGGAACAGAAAGCAGCCCATTAGACACTAACACAAACTGAATATGATAAATGGAAAATAAGTTTGTGAAAATCTACTAACACTCAGAGAAAAGGTAACAGACAAGTAGAACAAGTCTTAGGTCAAATCCCTAAGACATAAGCATAGGAGGGAACAGGTAAGAGAAAAATAAAACCACAGTTCCTTAATAAACAAAAGCAATACTCATGTCTAAAAGGCAGATACTGCTTAATATCAGAGAAAAACAGAGTCATCTAAAGATGGAGCTGAGAGACTTTTAAAATATTTTTTCAATAGCTAAAAAAATCACATCAGAAATGCGACAGGAAAAAAAACTAACAGAGAGACAAAAATTCAGTTTGACATCAGACATTTCTGAAAATGAAATGTCAAAAGTCGCCAGAATAACAGAATTTTTAAGAATGAAAGGTTGTTCCAGGAATTCTAGACCTACCAAAACTTTCATTCATATTCAAGGGACACAGAATGTTTCTTTTAGTAAAGCAGAGAAAAATAAAACCAAAATATAACACTTGGTTAGTACAGGTACTTTGTAGTTCTAAGCACTTTATATTAACTTCTTTCATCTTTACAATAACCCTGGTTTTGGATTTGGGGATTTAGGATTATTGTAATTATAATTGTGTTATTATCTTTGTTTTGTTCCCAGATAAGGAAACTGAGAAAGACAGAGGGTGATGAACTTATCATAGGGCACAGAACTGGTGAGTGCCAAGCCCAGGAGGTGATCCTGACAGCCACTCTGCACTGACTCCCAATATCCCGTTTGCCTGTCTGAAAATAGCAACATGGACTGACTCATTTTGCAGACGAATCAGTCAAAATTACTGCAAGCATGAAACACAAAATCGGCCAGTAACATAGAGTAAAATCTAAACTATTGTTAATATGATTATAAAATAAATCAAATGTAAAATATAATTCTGTATAAGATGCATAATATTGAAAAGTATATGACAAAAAGAAATAGCCTGGCTTGAAAAGACTATTTTCCATAAATAACAAATTCCCTGAATTGCCAAAATTTGCTAACAAACAAGAAGGCATGAATCAACCATGCAAAAATTAGAAAGCTGTCGGGATAGAAAACAAAAATGGAGGTCTTTAGAAGTGGGGGGGAGGGGGCAGTCTATCAAACTTCCACAGAAGAATGTGCTCCAGAACACAAAATGATAGCAAACTCCTAACTTGTTCATGTCTTACCAAGCGACAGTAATGAGGGAACTAAAACCTGAAAGTTAAAGATCAGCCTATCAAATCTAACAGGGTCTTTCAAAACTGCTATTGTTACACAGGCACTCACAGCTTTTCAATGTTTTAGTTGTTGTTTTTTGTTTTGTTTTACTATAGGGTGCACGCGCTTGTTAGAGAAAGAAAGAGAGAGATGGAGGAAGAGGGAAACTGAGAAATCATGCCCGAATGGGGATGGCTACACAGCAATCCCTTCTTCTCCATTCTCCTCTAAGAATTTTGGGAATACATGCATAAGTACCCAGTTTATTTTCTCAAACAGCTGCCAGATTCGGGACTTAAACCATGAAGTCAACTATGTGAGATCAAGCTGCCTTAACCTCTACCTGCTGGCCCTTAGTCACAGCTTTTTAGGCAGGTTTTGTGTTTTTTAAGTTTTGTTTTGTTTTTAAGAAAGATTTTTGCTATAGGGCGAGTGTGCTCACCAGAAGAACAAAGAGAGACAGAGAGACAGAAAGTGAGAAATCACACCCCACCCCCCACCCCCAGGGAGGAGGGTCATGCCACAATCCCTTCTCCTCCACTCTCCTCTCAGGATTTTGAGCACACACACACACAAGCCCAACATGAGTTTCAAGCTGCTGGGTCTGGGATTCAAACTGCCAATCGACTACAGTGATATAACATTACTCCCTCTGCTATTCTCTTTAAGTAGTTTTTATTGAATCATGCCTGGAAAAAATCAGGGGATAGAACATTATTTCACATCAGAAATTTACCCAAACCCACAGCTGGATTTTATCCAGAAAAAATTTTTTTTATTTTTAATAATTATTGTATTGTATTATTATTTTTTAAATTTGCTACAGAGTATGTGCACTCATCAGAGAGAAAGAGACAGGGCAAGTGAGAAAGCAAGCCAACAGGTCTGGGACTCAAACCGTGGTTGTCATGCAGGAGTCCAGCACCTCAAGCACCACGCCACCTGCTGGCCCCTAGGAATTCTTCATAGTGAGTCATTTAAATCTGTTGCTCTGGACCAACAGGTGGAATGGAGGTTGAGGTGCTGAATCCCATGCGTCCAACTCCGTAGTTCTAGTCCTGGACCTGGCAGCTTAAAAATCATGGTTGGAACTTCTATTCTGCACTTTTGAATTTGAGATTATTTTATAGCATATATTAATTTCAGACGGCATGTATGAATTATGTGATCCTATCTGAACTTCAGACAAGTTTTTGGTATAAGTACGTCCTAAATAAGTATCTATGATATATTGGGTTGCTGGAAAAGTCATGATGCATTTTTGCATCGAAAAATATGTCATGACTTTTCTGACACCTTAATTCTTATTCTTAAAATACTATCTGTTGGGCCAGGAGGTGGCCTGGCAGGCACTGAATCCCATATGGCCCACTCTCTGATTTGAGTCCCAAATGCAACAACTTGAAAAACAAGCGGGGTGCATGTGTATGTGTGCCAAAAATCCCCAGAAAAGAATAGAGGAGGAACTGCAGCATGGCCATCCACCCTGGGGGCGTGATTTCTCACTTTCCCTTTTTCTCTGTCTCTGTCTGTCCCCCTTGCCACCATACATGCCATGCCCTATGCATAAATCTAAAAAAAATAAATAAATAAACTGAACATAATTTCTTTTATTTGCTAAATCTTGCAACCTTATTTAAATGTGATTATTTACATTTTCTGTGCTTATTTCATTATTCTCAAAATTACAACTATGTTAAAACGTGAAATATAAGTATTTGGGAATGTACTTCATAGCCACTATACTCTTTATGTAGAACTTATTCAATGAGGAGCCTCTTCATGGCAATTATTTCTGCAATTTTTATCACTACAGTAAGTAACGTTGCAATCAATGTTCACACCGTACATAACACTTTCATAAATGTCCCCTACACCCGTTAGTTATCTTTTGACTTTGCCTGTGGTAGACACAAAAAGAAATTTTACTTCAACGTATGTGGTCAAGTTTATTAGTCATTTCCTTTGCGGCTTATGGGTTTGGCTTGATGCTTTAGAAAGATCTTCCCACTCCAAATTTATATATAACAATGATTAATCCATGGGTCTGCTACTTCCATGGTTTTGGTATTACACTGATGTTTTTGATCTGTGTAGAATTTATTTTGGAATAGGATTTAGAATACGGATCCTCTCTGCTTTGCTTTCAACTTGTCATGTCAGCTGTCTCAACATCACTTGCTAAGAACTAGCCTGGGGGGCAGCAGGTGGTGTGTGTGGTGGTTAAGGTACTAGACTTCCACGTGGCTCACCACAATTTGAGTCCAGAACCTGGTGGCTTGCCTTCTGTGTGTGTGTGTGTGTGTGTCTGGTGAGCACATGTGTCCTATAGAAAATTTAAAAATAATAATAAATTAAATAACACAATTTTTGAAAAAGAATTAGCCTAGAAGGGACAGACAAGGTACCGACTGCTATTCTGTGGGCTTGGTAGGCGGCACATGCTCAGGGAAGACTGCGAGTGTGACCTAAAGCTGACCCCCTCTGCAGGGAGGGAGGATGGACGCTGGTTAAACCACGTGCCTGTATCTGCAAGGACTGCTCACCTTTTCTACTAAATGCACCACAGCGCTGAGTTGCTCATCCGTGTTTTCTGTGGCCACTTTCATGTGGATGCTGTGGAGGACTCTGCTGAGGATGCCATCATCCAGGGGCTGGTGGAGCTGATCGGCAAGGCCCCAAACGGCCTGCGAATCTGCATCGGAGACAAGAGTGATATTGGCGGTCCCATACACTTTATCAATTCTGGCACCACCTTCTGGGGCAAAGAGCACAATCTGGAAGCGTTTAGGAAATGGATTTAAAGACCCCGTCTCTGGAGTTAGGATGACATCCACAACAGTGTTTCTCTGGCCAGGTTCAAAGACCAACATGCCTTCGGTTCTCACGAAATCCTTCCCAGAAATAGCTGGAGACATGAGAGTACGGCCAATGGTTTCAGCACTTCTCAACTCCTGGAAATTAAACAACATCATTTAGGAGAAGTTTTAACACCCCTCTTCTCATCCTAAACAAATTCTCAATTCTTAAATTTTATTTTTTGAAGAAACTTCTCAGCAAGGATAGCAATTCTATTGGGTTGTCAGAAAAGTCTTGCACATTTTTACATGAAAAAATATGTCATGACTTTTCTGACAACCCAGTATTAAAACATGAGGAGTCTGCTTTGTCTAATATCCTAAGATAAATTAGAGACAGAAAAACATACTATACCCTGGATGTCCTAGGGTAGGTCAGTAAGAGAACTGGAAAAGAAATGTTAACCATACTCTCACAGGATTCTCTGCAAACACAGTAAATACTGTACTTTAAAGAACACACACTGTGGACCCAGTAAGCGGCCCAGTGGTTAAGGTGCTGGACTCCCACATGGCCGACCACAGTCAGAGTCCACGATCTGGGAGCTTGAAACTCATGCTGAGTGTTTGTGCATGCAAGCCCCAAATCCCAAGAGGAGAATGGATGAGAAGGGATTTCAGTGTGGCCATGCCTCCTGGGGGCAGGGAGGGGTGATTTCGCACTTGTCTCTCTGTCCCCTGTGTGTGCACCATGCAAAAAAAAAAAATTCTCTCCTAAAAAAAAAAAAAAAAAGAGAGAAAGAAAAAACTCATGCTGAAAAATTAAAGCATAGTGGAGGAGAGAATATTTGCATTTTCATTCTCACCTGCAAATTGTTTGGGGAGATGGGATGGGGAGAGTAGCAGCGAGAGGAGGCTGAGGGAAAGAAGGAGGGAAAGAAGAGCCTGGCCTCTTGTTTATACCTATATAGGCAAATACCCTTAAACATAAAGCTTAAACCTTAAACACAAATACCCTTAAAGCTTAAACCTTAAACACAAATACCCTTAAAGCTTAAACCTTAAACACAAATACCCTTAAAGTTTAAACTTTAAACACAAATACCCTTAAAGTTTAAACCTTAAACACAAATAGCCTTAAACATATGTAACACACACACACACACACACAAACGCCCTCATGTGTCATTTAAGATGAGACTATGTTCGGAGAAATGAGTCACTAGGCAGTTTCTTGGCTGTGCAAACATCACAGAGTGTACTTACACAACCTAGATGGTGCAGCCTATGTGCTCCTTAGAGCACCGTAATATATGCAGTCCACAGCTGAACAAAATGGCATTATGCTGTGCATGTCTGTACCTCTGATTTTCCTTCAAGGAATGTGTATCTATGTACTACAGAGCCAACCACTATCAAACACCTACTATGTGCCAGGTGGCATACTACAGATGCAAATTTCAACAGGAGAATATCTGCTCTTCTAGCAGAAGCTATAGACAGTAAGGCTACGAAATTAATGATACATTTTTACATGAAGATGGGTTCTTTAAAGAAAAATACCAGGTAAGAGAATCCAGTGTGATGGTAAGGGTATTATTTTAGATATGATTGGTCACATTAACTCTTTTTCATTTTTCTTAGAACATCTTAAATTTTTAATCCTTTCTTTACAGGTTACCTAGACCAGTTTTGATTAGGAAAACTAAAAAGTTAGCAACTGCCACAAGAGAACACAGGACGGTGGCATGTGTCAATTTTCCAAAGAGTCCTGCTTTGTGGGGTGTCTGAATCCACTGCTTACGGTCTCTGCTCACACTTGCAAGAACCAATCATGGCAGATTTCAATCCACAGGCCACTTGTCCCCATATTTCTTTGTAAACTCTTCAGTGTTCTTACAGAGTTTTTTGCAGTCCTTAGAATATTCTCTAGCTAGGTCAGCCTGGAGGGGATACTTGGGCTGGAGGACATTCACCAGTGCTATGAGGGATGGATTTCCTGGTCGGTAGTTGCTGGCTTTAGTTCTCAGCACTAATTACAGGAAGACAGATCTGCCTCTTTACATCGATGTTCCAGTGGTAGCTCTTTGTTTTAAATGTGATCTAGGGGGTTTGAATGGGTACTCTGCTGGAAAGTAGATTTCGATTCTGAAGGCACCCTTGTCACATGGAGGGTTGTTAGGAACAATAAGCTCTTGCCAAGTCAATAAATTAGCTTCATCAACCTGGATGTTATGGAAGTTTTTCCTTCCACACCTGCATATTTCTTCAAGCTCCTTCATCAGCTTCCTGCTGGCCGCCATCTTAGGTCTAGTGCTGCTGCTTTCTCCCAAGACTGGTCACGTTAACTCTTGATGTGCAATTTGAACAGAGACCTCAGGGAAGTACAGGAACAGACAACAAAAGGATCTTGGAGAAAATCTCAGGAGGGCTAACAGCAATTATAAAAGCCCTCGGGTTAGAATCATCTTAGTATGTTACAGGGAGAACTAGAGGTCGGTGTGATGAAGAAGGAGGAGAAAGCTAGAAGCTGACATGGAAAAGCTGTACAGGGGTCAGATCATGTAGATCTGTTAACCAAAATGTGGCAGGAAGACATGGAGGTTCCAGCAGGAAAGTGACACATTTTAGTTCATAGCTTCAGGAGTGTTTTGGCTATTGTATGGATGAACACAACTGTAGGGAGAAGGGACAAGAGGTTTTTGTTTTTGTTTCCACAAGAAACAGTGGTAACTAGAAATAGGGCCACCTAAGTAGAAAGTGTAAAAAGACTGAGACTGGGAATAATTTTTAATGTAGACTCAATAGAACTTTCTGATGAATGTGATGATGGGTGGGAAAAGAGGACAACTTCTAGCTCTTAGTCTGTAAAATGGTGAAAAACTGAGGGAAAAAATTAAAGGGAAAATCAAAAAACATTTATTATACATATATTAAATCTGAAATGACTCGTAAGACATTTATATGAAGACGTTAAGTAAGCAATCAGACAAGAGTCAGGGTCAGGGGAGGGACAGAAGTTGGTAATAAGAATTTGTGAGCCTTCAGTTTTACAGGTTACCTAGACCAGTTTTGATTAGGAAAACTAAAAAGTTAGCAACTGCCACAAGAGAACACAGGACGGTGGCATGTGTCAATTTTCCAAAGAGTCCTGCTTTGTGGGGTGTCTGAATCCACTGCTTACGGTCTCTGCTCACACTTGCAAGAACCAATCATGGCAGATTTCAATCCACAGGCCACTTGTCCCCATATTTCTTTGTAAACTCTTCAGTGTTCTTACAGAGTTTTTTGCAGTCCTTAGAATATTCTCTAGCTAGGTCAGCCTGGAGGGGATACTTGGGCTGGAGGACATTCACCAGTGCTATGAGGGATGGATTTCCTGGTCGGTAGTTGCTGGCTTTAGTTCTCAGCACTAATTACAGGAAGACAGATCTGCCTCTTTACATCGATGTTCCAGTGGTAGCTCTTTGTTTTAAATGTGATCTAGGGGGTTTGAATGGGTACTCTGCTGGAAAGTAGATTTCGATTCTGAAGGCACCCTTGTCACATGGAGGGTTGTTAGGAACAATAAGCTCTTGCCAAGTCAATAAATTAGCTTCATCAACCTGGATGTTATGGAAGTTTTTCCTTCCACACCTGCATATTTCTTCAAGCTCCTTCATCAGCTTCCTGCTGGCCGCCATCTTGGGTCTAGTGCTGCTGCTTTCTCCCAAGACTGGTCACGTTAACTCTTGATGTGCAATTTGAACAGAGACCTCAGGGAAGTACAGGAACAGACAACAAAAGGATCTTGGAGAAAATCTCAGGAGGGCTAACAGCAATTATAAAAGCCCTCGGGTTAGAATCATCTTAGTATGTTACAGGGAGAACTAGAGGTCGGTGTGATGAAGAAGGAGGAGAAAGCTAGAAGCTGACATGGAAAAGCTGTACAGGGGTCAGATCATGTAGATCTGTTAACCAAAATGTGGCAGGAAGACATGGAGGTTCCAGCAGGAAAGTGACACATTTTAGTTCATAGCTTCAGGAGTGTTTTGGCTATTGTATGGATGAACACAACTGTAGGGAGAAGGGACAAGAGGTTTTTGTTTTTGTTTCCACAAGAAACAGTGGTAACTAGAAATAGGGCCACCTAAGTAGAAAGTGTAAAAAGACTGAGACTGGGAATAATTTTTAATGTAGACTCAATAGAACTTTCTGATGAATGTGATGATGGGTGGGAAAAGAGGACAACTTCTAGCTCTTAGTCTGTAAAATGGTGAAAAACTGAGGGAAAAAATTAAAGGGAAAATCAAAAAACATTTATTATACATATATTAAATCTGAAATGACTCGTAAGACATTTATATGAAGACGTTAAGTAAGCAATCAGACAAGAGTCAGGGTCAGGGGAGGGACAGAAGTTGGTAATAAGAATTTGTGAGCCTTCAGTTTAAAGAAGATTGTGGGGTTTTTTAGTATTTTTTTTTTCTGAGAGATTTTAGCTATAGGGTGTGTGTGCTCACCAGAGACAGAGAGAGAGACAGAGAGAGAGAAAGAGAGAAGCCATCCTCTAGGAGGGATGGCCATGATGTGATCTCCTCCATTCTCCTGTCAGGATTTTGGGCATGCATGCATACATATCTGGTGTAAGTTTCAAGCCACTGAGTCTGGGACTCAAACTGAGGTTGACTATGTGAGAGTTCAATGTGGGAGTCCAGTGCTTTAACCACTATGTCTCCTCCTGGCCCCTAGAAATGATATTTAAAGCAACAGGTCTTGACACTCTAGCCTACAGAGTGCATCTTGGTGAACTCCAACACTTACTGAATAAGAATACCAACTAGAAAACAGGAGAACCTCCCAATGAGGAAAGGTTAAGAGCAGGAAAGAATGGTGTTCCAGAAGCCCAAAGCAGATGAGCATGCTTCAGGAACAAGGAAGGGGTCAATTGTGTCCAAAAATGGAAAACAATAAAGATAACAATAAAGATTTTTAGATGTAATGTAATTTATGATGTAATGAAGGAACAAGAAGGTCTCAGTGAAGGAAACAATTCAAGAACCCATTGGCTTCAGAATGGAGTCATTAAAATAGCCACTGGAGGGGCCAGCATGAGGCATGGTGATTAAGGAGTTGTATTCCCCCACAGCCAACCACAGTTCGAGTCCCAAACCCAGTGGCTTAAAAATCATGCCAGGTGCACGTGCCTACATGCTCTAAATCCCAAGAGGAGAAGAAACTGCAGCGTGGCCATGCCCCAGGGGGTGATTTCTCATTTTTCCTTTCTCTATCTTTCTGTCTTTTTGCCCCATAGCAAAACAAACAAACCAACCAACCACTGGAATGCTATCTAACAGTGAAATGAAAGAATATGAACTAAGCACAGCAGCACAGATAATTAAAAACCATGTCATTGAACAAAACAAGCACATCACAGAACAATACCATTGGGATCATCTCATTCGCATAATATTTTTTCCTCCTTTTTTTTGGGGGGGGAAGGATTTTGCTATAGGGCGCGTGCGCTCATCAGAAAGACAAAGAGTGACGGAGAGACAGAAAGCAAGAAATCACCCCCCCAGGGGTATGGCCACACCGCAATCCCTTCTCCTCCATTCTCCTCTCGGGATCTTGGGCACGCACGCACATGGCCCGGTGTAAGTTTAAGCCACTGGGGACTCGAGGGAGTCCAGCGACATAGCCATTTCGCCAACTGCTGGTCCCCATAATTTTCAAAACAGGTTATAATGGGTGGTGAAATTATAAATCATCAAGAGAATAATTAGACATAAAATTCAAGATAGAGGCCTATCTGCAACATAGTGAGAGTGAAGGAAAAAGCAAAATGAGAGGAGAGTAGAGTTTGTTTTAAAATCCTTATAGAGCTAGATATGATTATTATAAACTGCATATACACATTTTATACACTGTTATCTACTGTTTCCTGGTAGGATTTACTTCAGAGTTCAAACATTAAAGGAAACAAAACATCAGATGTTCTCATGTTTATAAAATACATATAACAAACATAAACAAGAAGCACCGGGAACCAGCAGTTAGCGTAATGGCTATGTCACTGGACTCCCACATAGTCGACCACGGTTCGCGTCCCGGACCCGGTGGCTTAAAACTCACACCGGGCGCGTGTGCGTGCATGCCCAAGATCCCAAGAGGAGAATGGAGGAGAAGGGATTGCGGCGTGACCACCCCCCTGGGGGGTGATTTCTCGCTTTCTGTCTCTATGTCTCTCTCTGTCTGGCAAGCGTACGCACCCTATAGCAAAAATCTCTCCAAAAATAAGAAAAAAAAAAGAAGCACCATGTAATTTAAAAGTGACATGGGACCAGCAACTGGCATAATAGGTATGTCGCTGGACTCCCATGTTGTTAACCGTGGTTCGAGTCCCAGACCTGGTGGCTTAAACTCATGCCAGGTACGTGTGCGTGCATGCCCAAGATCCCAAGAGGAGAATGGAGGAGAAGGGATTGCGGCGTGACCACCCCCCTGGGGGGTGATTTCTCGCTTTCTATCTCTCTCTGTCTTTCTGGCAAGTACACACGCCCTATAGCAAAAACCTCTCAAAAAAAAAAAAAAAAAGTGACAACAGAAATCAATATAGGAATACTCTGAATAGACTAGACAATGTGAGAGTAAGGAGAAACATGTTCTTTCTTGAACTTTGTGTGCCCTTAGCTAGTACATACACATTTAGAAAAGTATTTGAAATTGATTTTCGAATTTGCTTTAGCTAAAGGCCTGCTTAATTGAAGGATAACTAGAAACGAGTGATACTTTTATTATATCAAATAATAAGGACCTAAAATCCCAACTCAACTTTATATCACAAATTTTTTTTATTTATTTTTATTTTTTGGGGGGGAGGGGGAGAGATTTTCGCTATAGGGCGCATGCGCTCGCCAGACAGACAGAGAGAGACATAGAGACAGAAGGATTTATTTATTTTTAATTTTATTTATTATCATCGTTCTTCTAAGAGTCCAATGGAGAGAAAGGGAGAGTGAAAAAGCAAGCTGTCAGGTACAGGACTTGAACTGTGGGCGGTCATGTGGGAGTCTAGCACCTAGACCACCATGCCACCTGGTGGTCCCTTATATCACAAAAATTAAGATATAAGAGAACTTAGGCTAAGATAGTAGTATATATGTATATAAGAATGCTAAATTCGGGACTAGCAGATGGCAGAACTGTTACATCGTTGAACTTCCACATAGTCAACCACAGTTCGAGTCCCAGACCCAGTGGGTTGACATTCATACCACGTGAGTGTGCATGAGTGCCCCAAATCCTGAGAGGAGAATGAAAGAGAAGGACTGCAGCATGGCCATCCCATCTGGGGGTGATGTCTTGCTTTCTGTCTCTCTGTGTCTTTCTGACAAGTGCACGTGTCCTTGAGCAAAAATCTCTCAAAAAAAAAAAAAAAGTAATGCTAAATTCATGGATTTTAAGAAATATAAAGATCAGTTAGTGTATGGGACCAGCAGGTGGCGTGGTGGTTAAGGCGCTGGACACTCCCACATGGCCAACCAGGGTTCAAGTCCTGAATCTGGTGGCTTGCTTTCTCACTTCCTCTCTCTCTCTCTCTCATTATCACCCTCTGTCTCTCTCTGCTCAAGCTAAAAAAAAAAAGAAAAAAAAAAAAAAGAATGAATAAAATAAAATAATTTTAAAAAATAAAAAAGATCAGTTAGCGTTAGAGATTCTGAATAAAGAAATGTTCAACTATTTCACATATAAATCATAACAAAACCCTTACTTTTTGCTTCTGGTCTTACACAGTTACATTTCAAAGAAATTTTAAATCTAGAAATTTTACAGAACAGAATTATGCAAGATACTTTGCATCATTAGATCAACTTTGTCAAAAGGAAGAAAAATAGAACTAAGTCTCATTTTTGAAAACATGATGTTATTAATGAGTGGAAACTGAGTTGTTTCAATGTAGTAAGTAAAATGTAAATTATGAGGATATCCCTGGAAAACAATGTATCGATCCTTCTTTGTTTCACTACACTTGCTCCAGTTCAATAAGCAAACTTCCATCTGTGTGAATATACATTCCATGCTTACCTGAGTACTGAAGTTAACAGACATCATTAGTCCTGTCCCAGAATCTCTGGCCACTTGCAAACTGATCAAAGTGGCCTTCTTATGAGCCACAGCCAGCCGAGAACCCACAGAAAAGTACACAAGGCTTTGAGGTTCATTCCTCTGTGAGACTTTAACCTGTGCCAGTCTGGCACTGTTGTTAAGTGCTGCTCCGGCACCTACTTCATAGAGTTCCACAAAGAAATACACTTCAACGTGAGGTATCTGACAATGAGAAAAACCAAACAGAGGACTATTACTAATACATTTTTACTTTTAGATAGCTCTGATATTAAGAAATGGTATCATTCACATACATCTTTACAGAGATAACTATATACCTGAAGACACATTCCATATAATTATAAAACTAAATTCTTTTTCCCTTTTTTATTTTTTATTGCAAGAGGATATGTGTGTTCACTATTACACAATAATCTAAAACTCTTAGCAGTGTTGTTAGTTTCCTGACATAACTCAAAGACGCAAAGCAAATGAATCTTTCAACTGCTTGTGTCATTGTGTAATTTGATATCATGCTTTACTTTTATCTGTCACCAAGAGTTTATTTATCATTTGTTTTGTGAAAATTTCATGGTAATCACTCTGTCACAAAACAGCACAACACGCCCTTCTGTTATTATCCAAGAACAAGTCATATCTTAGTCACATAATGAATAAATTTAATCTTCTTTTTTTGTCTAAAAAAATACGTCAGGCTTTCTTATGACACATGTCAGTTTTTACTTTTGCTGATCAATTGTCAGTAAAAACTGAAATATGAAAAAGACTATACTAGTTCCAGTTTGAGAAACTAAGTTTGGCTAATATAATAAACTAAAACAATAGGATACACACACATACACAAGAGCCATTATTCCTAATGGTCAAGAGAGCTTGAATTAACAATAGTTTCTTTTTTTTTTTTTTTTTCGGAGAGATGTTTGCTATGGAGTGTGTGCGCTCACCAGAAAGACAGAGAGTGACAGAGAGACAGAAAGTGAGAAATCACCCTCCACGGGGGATGGCCACACCGCAATCCCTAGTCCTCCATTCTCCTCTCTCGACATCTTGGGCACACATGTACACGCACCCAGCATGAGCTTAAGCTACCGAGTCCAGGATTTGAACCGTGGTCAACTACATGGGAGTTTAGTGACATAGCCATTATGCCAACTGCTGGTCCCAACAATAGTTTCTTTTAACTAAGGATTTCAGCATACATTTCAACAAAAATTCTTTATTTTCAAGTAAAATATTCCTTTTTTTGTGATGATGATTAGAAAATTACTACCATTGAGACCAGCAGTTAGTGTAATGGCTATGTCACTGGACTCCCACCTATTCGACTGCAGTTCAAGTCCCGGACCCAGTGGCTTAAACTCACGCGAGGTGCGTGTGCGTGCGTGCCCAAGATCCCGAGAGGACAATGGAGGAGAAGGGATTGCAGTGTGGCCATCCCCCCGGGGGGTGATTTCTAGCTTTCTATCTCTCTGTCTCTCTCTGTCTGTCTGGCGAGCGCACGCGCCCTATAGCAAAAACCTCCCAAAAAAAAAAAGAAAGAAAATTACTACCATTTACAGTCAAAAGAACATGTTATAAGTGGAATGAAGAACCATGTGATTGAGCACTGTACAGATAAGTGCCTACACAGAATTACACTGCCATTCTTACAAAGAAATATTCTAGTCAAACAATATTTCTGAAGTCTACAAGACTCATAGACAATGTCCGAACCACTCTCGACTCTTACGACATGACTGGAGACCTCGCAAGAACCCTTTCCCTGTTTAACTGCCAGTGGGTTCCTGTCCTAGTTAGGTCAAAAGCACTTCAGAGTATTTTTTCCTCAACTAGTATAAAATCAATTTTCCTTGGCTCAGAAGTGTTAAGAAGCAGAAAATCAAAATAATGATAAAATAATCTCTCACTTGTTTAAATAGTAGGTTGTCAGGAAAGTCATGACATATTTCTCTTATGTTTTTCTACACAAAAATGCATCATGACTTTCTCGACAACCCAATATTTACAAAATATCTGCAACGTATGTTTAAATACTTAAAGATATTTTGTAGGTTAAGGTAAAATGTCCTAAGTTAATCATTGCCTTATACACTTTGCCAATATAGAACCATAAAATAAATCATTAGGGAAAAGGGAAATGGACTGAATTTCAAGAAAGGAATTCTAATCTTAGCGCAGTGCTGACTGGCAACTTACTTAAATTCTTCATAATTTAGAAATGAAACTGATGATTAACTCTAGAGATGATAGTTAAAGATAGGAAAGAGCAAAAAGTCTTTAAGTTGAAGTCAGAAGACTGAACTGCGGTGAGCAGGCATCACCATGAATGAGTGGGGTCATTCCAGGGATAAGTTCATTGTGTTTGTGGTATCTGTAACCCCTGCCACTGAGGTGGATAGAGCTGTTACCCAAGTTACTGAATTCCCTTGGGCTCCGTTCCTATCTATTTGGAACAACAGCTATATTGGTCATCTCTTATAAAAGGCCAACTCCTGCCAAGAACCATGCTAAGAACCCCATTCATTTCTCATTTAATCTAAGAGTCCATAGTTCTATTCAATCTGGAAGGCTCAGAGAGATTAAGCAACTTGTGCATTTTTTTTTCCTGGTGGGCACATGTGCCCTATTTACCAGAGGGAAGAGAGAGACAATGAGAGGGAAAGTGAGAAATTACCCCCCAGGGGGAATGGCCATGCTGCAATCCCTTCTCCTCCATTGCCCTCTCAGGATTTTGAGTGCACATACTTATGTATCCAGGATGATTTTGTTTGTTTTGTTTTAGAGATTGTTGCCATATGGTGCAGGCACTCGCTGGAGAGACAGAGAGACAGAAAGCGAGAAATCATCCCCCAGAGGGATGGCCACACTGCAATCCCTTCTTCTCCATTCTCCTTTCAGGATCTTGGGCACATATACCCAGCATGAGGTTTAAGCTGCCCGATCTGGGACTCGAACTGCACTCGACTACGTGGGAAACCAGTGCCTTAACCAACACACCACCTGCTGGCCTCAATCATTCAAAATTAGTTGAATGTGAATCTATAAGAATACCGAAAGGAAAAAACTTATTGTAGTATACAAAAGGTAACAGTAATGTGAATATAATAGTGTATACTTAACATTTTGCTAATTTTAATGTACAGGAGAGAATTGGCATATTGTGGCTGGTATCTTGTATTAAACATGAGTCCATTTCACCTCTTAACATTTTTAAAAGTTCATTTATTTTATTCATGATAGACTGTAGACAAACGTAAGAGAGAAAGAGGGAGCGTGCACCCTCAACAGGCTCTTGTCACGGATCTAAACTACGGTTGGCCCCATGGCTTCCAGCACTGCAGCTCAGTTTGCTCAGCTCTGCCACAGCCGAGCCCAGGGTGGGTGTGTTTGTTAATAGTGAACATTTCTATCTGTGTATATAAAGGGATTAATGAAAAGGACAATAAATAAATTATTCCTAGAAAAGGTAAGAATGGTACTTAGAGTCAGAATAAATGACTTAAACCTGTGAAATAACATACAACTGAGGCGAAAAAGTGAGTACAGGAGTCACAGCGCCAATGTCCTCGCAGGTGAGAGATAATGCCTGAGAGACAAAGATGTGACTTCTCCAGGCCAAGGAGGTGCGCAAAGTGCAAAGGTGTTTTACTGCCTTTTATTGCCCTCTTATTAACAATAGCCCCGAAGGACCAGCGCAAACTTCAATAGTGTTAGGGAAACAAGGAATGCAAAGCCAGCACTGAAAAATGTAAATAAATTATTCTCAGGAAATTTTGTGATATGAAACAAATTACCCTGAAAGGTATAAATTAAAATAATATTTATCTAAATTGGTAAAGGTCCTATAATGGTCCAAATGACCAGTGCTTTTTTGGTAATAGTTTGAGACAAGAGTCAGGATCTATGTTCCAACAAAGATCAAAGTGGTGATAAGCAAGGACATGTTAAGTGATCGGAAACAGTATTCTTTTTTCTTGGAACTAGTAAAATTATTAAAATTTCAGGATGTTATGAAAATATGTATTACTGTAACCTTAGAACATATCAATATAATGACCATATACAGTAATTCTCATTTGGTAAAAAAAAAAAAGGTAGATAAAAATTTTTTAAAAAAATTAAATCTGCAAGGCTATTATTTAGAATGGTTTTAAGTATGGGGCTCGCAGGTGGCGTGGTGGTTAAGGGCACTGGACTCCCACATGGCTGACCACGGTTCGAGTCCTGGACCTGGTGGCTTGTTTTCTCACTATCTCTCTCTCTTTTACTCTGTCCCTCTCTGGTCAAATTAAAAATAAATAAATAAATAAATAAATAAATAAATAAAGTTAAATAAAATTATTTTTTTTTAAAGAATAGGTTTAAGTATACTCAGATGTTTTAAAGAAACTGTATTCATGCATGTCTTCTCTGCTATTTAAAGTGTATAGCATGGGGTCAGTCAGTGGCAAGGTATTGGGCATCTGGATCCTACATAGCTGACTGTGTGGTTCAAATCCTGGGCCCAGTGACTTGAAAAACATGCAGGACACATGTGCGTACATGATGCTAAAGAATAGGTTTAAGTATACTCAGATGTTTTAAAGAAACTGTATTCATGCATGTCTTCTCTGCTATTTAAAGTGTATAGCATGGGGTCAGTCAGTGGCAAGGTATTGGGCATCTGGATCCTACATAGCTGACTGTGTGGTTCAAATCCTGGGCCCAGTGACTTGAAAAACATGCAGGACACATGTGCGTACATGATGCCCAAAATCCAGAGAGGAGAATGAAGGAGATGGAACTGTGGTGTGGCTATTCCACCTGGAGGGCACTTTCTCAATATCTCTTCCCATCTAGTCTCAGTGAGCACACACGCACTACAGCAAATTTAATAAAAAACAGTATGGCATGTACAAGGAACCTGTTATACTTTGAACATTTGTAATATGGTGGCTAGTTTTTGTATCAAATATTTAATTTAATAAATAAGCAGCAAAGAGCAAATACTACTCAGTGTTCTGTGCGAAAAAAAGTATCACAGAATAGTCATTTTATAAAACCTGCACATGATTGTTAAATGCCCTGTAGAGCTCTGTTAGGTCATCAGTAAGCAATACCATCTAGATAATGCTGGTTCCCTTGGAGTTGGAAGAACACCTAATATGACATGAATCAATAGAAATTAATCCGAGGGAGGGGCCAGGAGGTGACACAGTGGTTAAGGGGCTAGACTCCCACAAGGTTGACTGCAATTCGAGGCCCAGACCTGGAAACTTGAAAATCAAAGTGGGCTCATGTACACATGCCCAAAATCCCAGGAGGAGAATGAAAAAGGGACTGTGGTGTGGTCATCCTCCTTGGGGGATGATTTCTCACCCTCCCTCTCACTGTCACTGTCTCTGTCTCTTTCATTGTGCACGAACTCTGTGGCAAAAAAGAAAGGAAAAAAGGAATTAAATCAAGGGTTCTCCAAGTATGGCCTCTGTGCATTCCTAAAAGATTGAAACCAAATCCCTTAACCATATACAAACAGAATCAAAGATGTTTTAAACTTATGGATATGAAAAAAGTGAAATGCTAAACATTTATAGTAATCACATACTAATCTGGCTGAAGATGACCAAAGGATCATTCACACAATGAACAGATGGGTCAGGAGGAACTTTTGAAATGGCAAAAAACTAAGAAGGAGAAAACCGACATGGTTATTTATGAAAATTCATCCTGTGATAAATTCTAGGTCTAAAGTCTTGTGTTCAGCAAAGAAACATATACATGATGGCTAGGTAAGACACAAAGAACCTCTACATAAACAGTGTGTACGCTTCAATAAAGTAATTTTATTTTTAAAGTTATTAATTCTAAGGGGTCAGATGGTGCAGTAGTAAAACGGGACAATCTATGAAAGCAATCCCACATGGGAAGGTTGATGGTTTAAATGCAGAGACCTCCCTAAGGATGCTGGGCACACATCTGTCCAGGATCTGTGGTTGGCTAAAGGCTGGGGGTGGATGATGGCGTCAAGACCCTGTTAGGGGTTCTGTCTCTATCTCTATGTCTCTCTTGCACATGAGAGAAATTTTTAAAAACCTTTAAAAAATTATTAATTCTAAAGGAATAGTATTAGAAACAGATAATGTTGTGCCTCATCATTCTTACCCTCTCTGGTTTGAGTTCAATGTTGATAAAGCACGTCGTGTGACCCGCTATGCAGACAGTGGTTCCTGACACTGACTGGAGTTCATCTGCCAGGTTGACACCATCCTTCTGGAGAACAGCACCGGTTTCGTTAAGTGTGACTCGCCAAAAGATCTTGACATCTTCGAAGGCCCTGTGAACAAAGCAAACCCACGCAAATGCGGGAACAGACTGTGTTATTCCTATGGCTAACAGAAGGTGTTATACCTGTGCCTAACAACGCCACTTCTTCCAAAGCACGGCACTCATTTTACGACTGACAATGCTGAAAATGACCGATTCGACTCATTACAGACAAATAAATTAGGCTCAAAGTTTCCACGGCATTTTTAAACAAACCTCTGTTCAACAATGAATAAATATTTATTGAACTACTCTGTATCAGGAATTCGAAAACAAGTAATATTTTTGGACTATCATGCACCAAAAGTGTGAAAATAAAAATCATAGAGAGTCACTGACTTCCAATAAACGCTTTTTGTTCTTCTTTCTTTCTTTCTGTTTTGTTTTGTTTTTAAGGTTTTTGCCAATATACTCGCTGGAGAAACACAGAGAAAAATAGTAAGAAGTCACTCCTTGAGGGAACACCTATGCTGCAATCCCCTCTCCTCCATTCTCCTTCTGGGATTTTGGGCATGCATGCACACATGCCCAGTGTGATTGTCCAGTACCAGTTCTAGGACTTGAATCTGGGTTGGCCATGTAGGAATCCAGTGCCTTAACCATAAAAGGCAAAAGGTGACCCAAATTTCCAAAAAATATTTAGGCCTCAAACAAAAATATAATGCATACACAAGCATTAATGCACGCCAAGTACATGTATGTTACGAACATTCAAAAGCTGGTGCTATGTAGGATTAAGTTGTAAGCATAACTTGGTACTAAGTTTCCCTAACAGTAAAATAGTTGTGTATGTGGGCTGATCAGAGAAGAATAAACATGATGAAGTGATGACCTACATAATCTGACATCTCTATGGTAGTTTAAGAAGTGTTAACACCCTCAAGGTAGTCCTACATGAACCAAGCACGTTAAACCACGGATTTAAACTAGACATCATGAGGCCAAGTAGTGGCACAATTGTAACACAACTGGACCCACATGAACAAGTCCTGGGTTTGCGTCCTGGGACCTCCCATTGCACTCTGGGCATACATGTGCCCTTAATCCTGGGGCTAGGACTGGGAGTGAACTGCAACATGAAGACCTTGATGGGGTGCATGTCCCTCTGTCTTTCTCTTTGTCTCTCTCTGATGCAAGGAACAGATCAACTTAAAAAAAAAAAAAAAACAATTTGAGCACTGACATACCAAATTCCACAGTATTTCCTTCCACTGATATTTCATCCTTCTTGTACCATTGGATGACTTCAAGTTAGATACCCTCTATACACACAGGTTACTACATCTTTTATACACACACACATACCTGTTGTGCTGCCTTGTGACAATGAGATGCAGTTTTCTCCTATCAGCTTCTTCTCCGAGTTCTAGGCCACGCTGGGACTCTTCACTAAATCCTATGATGCCATTATGAAGATCACTCCCTGAGCAGGAAAATGGGAGATAAAATATACTTAAGCCTTTAACAGATCTCTAGGGCTTCACTACTCTCTGTTCAGGTGGAAGTGTGATGAGAGTGAGTGGGAGGAGCTACAAGGGGGTGGGAGGGTAAGTGAGTGGAAGGAATTACAGTTTTAAAGATCCTCACTAAAAATAGTCTTAAAAATGACACCATTAAGGTGTCTGACAGTTTGAGAACAGAAGACCAGAAGAAAGAAAACTCCAATCCACTCCTCACCCTGACATACACATCTCTCTGACGAGGCCTACTTCTCGTGTGATAGTACTCAACATTCTGTGTGCCTCTCTGTTAAAGGCTGTACGTCCCACAGAATTAAATTCCACCAGAGCAACAATTGTGTTTACTGCTATATCCTCCAACACGAAGAACAGAACCCTGCATAGAGTATTCAATAAAAATCTGCTGAGCTGAACTCCACTGAACTGATTCACTTTCCTATAAAGAGAATACCAAAACACTGTTACTTTACACATTCAGCTATTTGCCTGGGAAAAAAGAAAACTATTAAAGAACTCTCGAGCTTTTCCAAGTATTGGAAACTCCTCTAAGCAACAGCTGAGTTTTTAAGTACCACCATCCTTAAAAAAAAAAAAAAAAAAAAAAAAAAAAGTGTTTAAAGTGGAAGAAACCTTGGGCTCATACTAGGCTAAAACAGTCACTTCAAATCCT